GGTGTGTTTGTGTGTTTGTGTGTGATGTGTGTATGTGCTTCCTCGTGCATTTGTGTGTATGTGCGTGTATATCATTATTTGTAACGATAAATGTATACATGTATGTGTCTGTGTGTGTGTATTTGTATGTGCGTTGTTGTGTGCATGTGTGCGTCTGTTTTAACGCACACAGCGGCACGTGAGCAACCTCCTTCCCGTCCCTCCCTAACCACCCCAATCGCCGCTGACACCGCTCCTTCCCCCTCCCACCTTCTCCCCTCACTCCTTCACTCCCTCCCTCCCTCACTCCCTCCCTCCCTCACTCCCTCCCTCACTCACTCACTCACTCACTCACTCACTCACTCACTCACTCACTCACTTATCCCCCGTAGCTGAGGAATTCGCTGTGAGCGCCCTGGACCGCGCCGTGACTCTCTCTCGCGCACACACGCAGGACCGAGTACACTAGATCGAGCCGCTGCTTGTTACAACACTAGATACCTACGCGAATACTCGACTGCATAAGCGCGTGTCAACAAAAGCGAAGCGTTCAGTGCTCACTGTTTGTAACCTTTGTTCCTGACGCGCTTTTATGTGTGCTTTTATTTTTAAAATAAAAAAACCAAAACTATCCTATTAATTTTTCCCAAAAATAAATTTGCTTTTTGCTCTACATAATAAGTGAATTTTGTTTTAATAAGTTTTCTTTTGAATCATTTTCTAAAGTCCTTTTTTTACTTTTCTTTTTTTAAAAACGATTTTAGTATATTATTTGTGATATAAAGTGTTAAATTGTATCTTGAGCTTTGCTATATCAGCTATTTTTTCATGGATTTAAAGAAAACTCGAGATGTATTCAGTGTATTCTAAACAACTTTTTAAAAAGTGCACATTTTCTTTTGAGTATAAATCAAGGTAGGGTCTTTAGAACTCTTATAATTTTTCAGAATTATTGACATGTGTAGATTGTAGTGATTCTCAAAAGATTTTTTTTTAAAATTATCTAAAAGTGCCCATAGAGGCTGTTATAAAAAATAAATACATAAAACGTATATAGATCTACCCCATTAACTAATTGCTCTTGTCACGGAACCACCAGCCTGTATGTGATTATATCCGACAATATGACGATACATTATAAAACAGAATATTTTATAAAACAAAACATGTAGCCTTAGACTGAGGGAAATACAAAGATATCAGGTTGCTCCCAGGACCGGCCCTCAGCACGTGGAAAGCAGTACACCCGCGTGATCGGGATTAGCTACCTCATACGGGCAGGAAAATTATAGCTGAGAGCTTGTGCGAAACCGTGCTATAACTCGTCACCATCCAAGTAGTATTTCTGACTGACGTTAAGGATCAAATGTGCTGTTCTTGCCTCAGGATCGACGAATTCAGGAATCAAACAACAGGTGTTGGTTCTGTCGAGCGGGATCAATATCTGAAACGCGCTTGAGTGTCTATGTGAGTGCACACGTGCTGCGGTGGTTGGTGGTGGTCGTTGTTGTGGCTGTGAACTGGCCGGCGTTATTAGCAGTTAGCGAGCTGGTTTGTTTCGATGCGGACGAAGTATTTGGAGGATACTAATATTTCTTTTGCTGCGTGCGTGCCGGTTTGAGGAAGTGGAAGAGCGCAGGTTTTAGCCGGGACAAGTCATCACGCTCACAGGTGAGCTCAACTTTGACCCCTGTCCTTTAGCCGTGAGGCCGGGTGAACGTTATACCTTTACTGGATTCTTCTGTTTATACCTCCTTCTCAATCCAGGGTTTCTCTGCATATTCAGTAGCCTAAATTCTTTTTTTTTAACCTGATATGTCTATAATATTATTATTGTTCTCTTTCTTGCTGATTTTTGTTTTCATCTGTTTTGCCGATGAATCCACCGGTGGGGAGGAGTTCCGCAGAGGGCTGGCACTTACCGTGACAAGGTCCTCTGAGCAAACTGTACAAGAGTTACGGTTAGGGTTAGGATAAGGGTTAAGGTTAGTTGTTAGGGTTAGTGTTAGTGTTAGTGTTAGGTGTTGTTGGTCGGCCGGCCCTCTGAGGAACTCCTTCCCACCGGTGTTTGTTTAGTAGACAAAGGGTTAGGTTATGTCTGCTGTAAGCGGAAGACTTGCAGTCCGCTCGCTTCATGAATCGTGTAAAAAAATTGACATGTTTAATTGTCTGCTGCGATTCTTTTTTCCTTCGGAGCGCGGGGGAGTAAACACTTGCAAACAAATTATTATTTAAAATCAGCCACCATCTCATTATTGTCATCACCGAATTGTTTATTGTATTCCTCGTCCACATTCGCAAGCGCGTGAGCGCAGTACGCGCGCGCGAACGCACGCACGCGCGCACACACACACACACACACACACACACACACACACACACACACACACATACACATACACACACACACATACACGCAGAGAATCCCTCACATACACAGACATTGTTGTCATTGTTTGCCCATCCTCATACACTTCCTACACTTCTTTCGTTTCCTTGTTATACCCCTCACCCTTTTATAACGTTGCCCTTAACGCTGTAGTAGTTGTTGTAACTGTTGTTTTTGCTGCTGCTGTTAATCCTATTGTAATTGTTGTTCTTATTGTTTTTGTTGTTGCTATTGGTGGTGGTGTGATTGTTCTTGTTTCAGCTCTCCTTCTTGTTTCCGGAGTTCTAGTTCTCCTGTATGTAGTTATCTAATTTTACCTTGAACACCAGAGCGGCTGCCTAACTGAATAATTTCGTAGAATTTGCCAGCAAGCAAAACACTACACCTGAGTTTACCCTCTTCCTCATTCCTTCCCATCTTTATTTTTCTGTCTCTGTTCATATTCCCCCCCCCCTCTCTCTCTCTCTCT